CGGGGCATGGCCGGCCCGGTGAGGAAGACTCCGTTTCGCCTTCCTCCCAGGCCGAGGAGACCCTGAGGCCCGGAGATGGCTGCGGCCGAACCTGCCCAGGTAGGGACAGCCCGGCCGGGGGGTTGTTGGGGGACCCCCCGAAACCCGCTCTGCACACCCATCCCTTGCAAAGAAAGGGCCGATTTCCTGGGAAGGGGGAAGGCACATCCAGCCCCTCTCCCTCCTGCACTGATATTTTCGGGATGCATCGCCCCCAAATCCCTCCAGTCCTACTTTCAAATGAGGAGGAAGAAATGGGGTCTTTTGTGCTCCCTTTTGCTGTTTCGAGGGCAGTTTTTCAGCGCGAGGCTTCCAGGTTGCGCCAGGTTTGGGCCTCCTGCGGCTTTCCTTGTGTTTGCTCTTCCCTCCTTATCATGCAAATTCCTGGGATGAGGCTGTCCTTAGCTTGGAAGCCAAGGGATGTGTGCGGACAGCAAACTGGGATCCGAAAGGGAGCTGGGATGGAGCTGGGGCACGTGGATCCCCTTCTCCCTCCTCCATGCGGCTGAGCACGATGCCCAAAACCTCTCAAATTGCCTTAAAATGCAGTTCGGGTGTCCCCTAGCAGCAGGGTTGTGCTGCTGAAGCTCTCCTGGAGCTCCGGGCTCGCAGTGCCCTCTCCTGACAGCTCCTGCTTGCTGGCCCATCCCGGGATGCTCCTGGAGATGGAGCTGCAGGTCCAGGGGGGTAACAGGCACCATGGGGGCTCCGGCCTCCAGTTTAGGACCCTCCAAAGGGAGGAAAAATCCAGGTTTGGAAGCAGGGAAGCATCTGGAGGCTCCAAAGGGAGGAATAATCCAGGTTTTGAAGCAGAGAAGCATCTAAAGAAACATCTGGGGGCTCCAAAGGGAGGAACAATCCAGGTATGGAAACAGGGAAGCATCTAGGGAGCATCTGGAGGCTCCAAAGGGAGGAACAATCCAGGTATGGAAGCAGGGAAGCATCTGGGGGCTCCAAAGGGAGGAACAATCCAGGTTTGGAAGCAGGGAAGCATCTAGGGAGCATCTGGAGGTCCAAAAGGAGGAACAATCCAACTGTGGAAGCAGAGAAGCATCTAAGGGAACATCTGGAGGCTCCAAAGGGAGGAACAATCCAGGTGTGGAAGCAGGGAAGCATCTAAGGGAACATCTGGGGGCTTTAACAGAGCTCTGTGCCCTTCTGCACCATCCTGCTCTTGGATCAGGACAACAAGGGACTTGGTTCCTTGTGCTAGATGCATCCAAGCCTGTGTCACAGCCTGTTTTTATTTCTCTCTTTTTCCAGCTTTCTTTTCCTCCTCCGTCCTCCCTTGTGCCCGACGGTCTCCGTGTTTCTCAGCTGCTCTCGCTGTCCCTTGGCTTTTCTGTCTTCTTGGAAAGTGGCTTTTGGGGCTGGTTCCAGCTTCTTTTCGCTTCTGCATCGCCTGGAGATCCTTTGGGTAATGAGTTGTAGATGTTCTCAGCAAACCCTGGTGGGGCTGAATCCATCCCACCTCAGAGAGCCCTGAGGGATCTTCTTCTTCTTCGTCTTCTCCTTCTTCATCTTCTTCTTTTTCTTCTCCTTCTTCTTCATCTTCTTCTTCTTCTTCGTCTCCTTCTCCTTCTTCTCCTTCTTCTTCTCCTTCTTCTCCTTCTCCTTCTTCTTCTCATTTTCTCCTTCTTCTTCTCCTTCTCCTCCTTCTCCTCCTTCTCCTTCTCCTTCTTCTCCTTCTCCTTCTTCTCCTTCTCCTTCTCCTTCTCCTTCTCCTTCTCCTTCTCCTTCTCCTTCTCCTTCTCCTTCTCCTTCTCCTTCTCCTTCTCCTTCTCCTTCTCCTTCTCCTTCTCCTTCTCCTTCTCCTTCTCCTTCTCCTTCTCCTTCTCCTTCTCCTTCTCCTTCTCCTTCTCCTTCTCCTTCTCCTTCTCCTTCTCCTTCTCCTTCTCCTTCTCCTTCTCCTTCTCCTTCTCCTTCTCCTTCTCCTTCTCCTTCTCCTTCTCCTTCTCCTTCTCCTTCTCCTTCTCCTTCTCCTTCTCCTTCTCCTTCTCCTTCTCCTTCTCCTTCTCCTTCTCTTTCTCCTTCTCCTTCTCCTTCTCTTTCTCCTTCTCCTTCTCCTTCTCCTTCTCCTTCTTACGTTTTGAAGAGTTTTAAACCCATAGCTGCCCTTGCTCCTGATGAGATATCACATATGGACCTAACCCACCCAATAACCCACTGCTGTCTACCTGAGCAGGTTTCCCAGTGTACAGCCCCGAGCTGCTTGCCCGGCTGGAGCGAGGGGAAGAGGCCTGGATCCCGGATATCCCAAGCTCCGAGGATGAGGAGCCAGCGAGGCCCATCCTGAGACTGTGGGTGAGGAAAAGGAAAAGGTGGAAAACCTACCGGGATCCCAGGAGCTCCTCCGGCTCCAATTCTTCTAATTGGGGTAAGACTCCTCTGTGTATTTTGCAGTAGAGGCCAAATATCTTCATTTCTGTTTAATTTTCTCTAGGGGAAAAATATCGGGATTTATCCCTTGGTCCTCATCTTCCTGTTGCTTCCTTGTTTGTCCTTCTCCATCCCTTTCTCCACGGTCCTTTCCCTGCATGGGGAATGACTTGGAGCTGGTCCTTCTCCCTCTGTGCTGCAGGTGATGGATCCGGGAGTGAGACGGACACCGAAAGCTCCCAATCGGAAGACGGAGAAGACGGTCCGGGCTTGAGGAAGCCCCGAGGAGGCTCCTTGCCGGGTAGGAAAAGCCATAGGAGCCACTTGGGAAGGCGCTCGGCATCCTCCCACCATGGTGGGAAGAGACACGGCGTCCGGAGCCAGTCGTTGGGGCAGCGCAAACACGCGTGCAACAAGTGCGGGAAGAGCTTCAGCCGCGGCTCGTCCCTCAACCGGCACCGGAGGGTCCACGTCGGGGAGAAGCCCTTCGCGTGCTCCGGCTGCGGGAAGCGCTTCCCGTGCGACTCCAGCCTCAAGAGCCACCAGAAGACCCACCTGGGCGAGAAGCCCTACAAGTGCCCCAGCTGCGAGAAGAGCTTCACGTCCACCAAGTCGCTCAGGAAGCACTGCAAGATCCACCTGGAGAACGGGGCCTACCGGTGCTCCGAGTGCGGGAAGACCCTCACGTCCAACTCAGCTCTTATCATCCACCGGAGAATCCACACGGGGGAGAGGCCCTACAGCTGCCCCGAGTGCGGGAAGAACTTCATGGCCAAGAAGTCCCTCAACAAGCACCGCAAGAGCCACATGGAAGGCGCCGCCTTCACGTGCCCGGAGTGTGGGAAAAACCTCACGTCGAACTCGACCCTCATCATCCACAGGCGGATCCACACGGGCGAGAGGCCCTACCAGTGCCCCGAGTGCGGCAAGAGCTTCATGGCCAACAAGTCGCTCAGCAAACACCGCAAGAGCCACATGGAGGAGGAGAGCTACAGGTGCTCTCAGTGCGGGGAGACCTTCACCAAGAACTCGGCCTTCGTCGTCCACTTGAGGACCCACAGGGGAGAGCCCCCCTACCCCTGCCCCGACTGCGGGGAGGCCTTTTTCGACAGCTCCTCGTTCAGCAAACACCGCAAAAAGCACTTGGTGGAGAAACCCTACCAGTGTGCCGAGTGCGGGGTGGGCTTCACCACTCACCCTGCCCTCCTCCTGCACCAGAAGAGCCACGTGGGACCCCGGCCCCACGTGTGCTCTGAGTGCGGGAAGGCCTTCCGGGAGAACACGACGCAGTGACTCGTTTGGATCCACCCGGCTCCATCCTTGACCCACCAGGTCCCATCCATGTGGACTTCGTGTCCTCCTACTCAGGAACCCCCATGGAGGAGGTGTCCTCATCAATCTGCAGGGGGAAACAATTGGATATTAGGGAAATTCAAGGGTGAAGAGGAAAAAGGGCCCAGCCCAACTCATGGTAGAACGTTCTTGGTAACAAATTCCCAATATCCCAATGCAACATCTCCAGATGAAGTCACTGATGGGTTTTAAAACAAGTTGGTTGGTTTTAGAAGCAGAACATGGATGTGATTCAGGTGGGGGATATTTGCTGGAGCTCCTCGCTTTGAGAGGTACTTGTGGAGGCTGGAGAAGCTGGTGGATCACGGCTGATCAAGGTGGTAGATCACGGCTGATCAAGCTTCCTCCCATCCAAACCAAGTGAAGAAGAGCAGCTCCGTGTCCCCTTAACTTCCCATCCTGGAATATTTAACTTCTTTAAAGAGAAGGCGCATCCAAGGGGTCCCCATCACCCTGATGTCTGGTCTGCTCGGATCTCTTGCTTTGATGGGACACCAGGTGTTTGGAAAAGTCATTCATACTCAGATGTCTCCTCCCATGATTTCCTTGTTGTTCTCGCTGAGTTTTGTTCAATTTTTATACTATTCTGTTCAAAATACACTGCCCTGAGTCTGGTGCAAATGTGACACCCCCAAGTCATGGCTTGTTTGTGAATGTTCTTGCTTTTTATTTTATTATTATTAATATTATTTTTTAAAAAAGAGGTGCAATAAAATGGGACTTACTTTCCTGGAGTGCAGCGTCTTTCTCAGGAGAGATCACGCTGTTGGTCACAGTTTAGGCTGTATTCGGTTTTTGGAATACAGTGCACTGGGGGGTTGTAGTCCTCCAACCAAGCCCTGGAAACATCTGGAAGTTTCTACTTCCACCTCCATGTCTGGATGGGTTTTGAAGACCTGCTGGATGGACAACCCCCTGCAGGATCTTTCCACATTAAAATGTTCCTCTTGGCTTCAAGAAGAGAACCCCATATCAGGAAGAGAACCCCATATCAAGAAGAGAACCCCAAATCAAGAAGAAAACCCCATAAATATTTCAATTTCTGCCCCTTGGGAGAGGCGCATCCGGCCCTGGATGCTACAGGGAAAAGATTCTTCTCTGGATCCCTTGCTCCAGTTTAATCTGTCCGTGTTGTCCTATTCTGGAGGTGGGGTGCAGCATTCCAGATGTTTTCCCTATGCTGTCCTCCAGATGTGGCCTTAACAAGCACTGCATAAAGTGACATTGACCCTCCCCAGGGCCCAAAAAGGGGACCTGGCAGCGGTGGGATTCGAACCCACGCCTCCGAAGAGACTGGAGCCTTAATCCAGCGCCTTAGACCGCTCGGCCACACTACCGTGGTGACAAGGATCCCCTGGGTTATGGAATGGGATACAAAAATTGGGGGGAATTGCGCAAATTCCTGGGATCTTTTAAGGGGATTATGCCAAAGTGACTGGGGGATGTTTAGGAGAAGGACCAAAGGAGGGATAAAAAAGGATGGGGAGGAGTAAATGGGGGGAAAAGAGGTGAAAATGGGATAAAAGAGGTGAAAATGGGATAAAAGAGGGGAAGAATGGGATAAAAGGGGGGAAGAATGGGATAAAAGAGGGGAAGAATGGGATAAAAGAGGGTGAAAATGGGATAAAAGAGGGGAAGAATGGGATAAAAAGGGGGAAGAATGGGATAAAAGAGGGGAAGAATGGGATAAAAGAGGGGAAAAATGCGATAAAAGAGGGGAAAAATGCGATAAGAGGCTGGGTGTGGGCAAGCAAGGGGTAGTTCTCCTTGCTCCCAATCCTTGGTCTCATTCGCTCCAGAAGTGTGTCCCATATCCTTATTAAATCACTTTAATTCCAAGTGTCTCCTTGTCTGGGCTTGTGTGCATCAATGGCTAGTGACACGGAGCCAGGGCCAATGATAGGAGCCGGTCTATACGTCAGCACTAGGAAATATCCGGGATTCTTTC